CACAAGACTATTGCACAGAAGAGCGGCAATAAATCGCCTGGACTGCAAAGCGGCTCCTGCGAATGGCATTAGAACACGAACTGAATACTGGCGCGGGAGATACAAAACGACGCGGAACTGGGTCGATCGATGACGCCGAGGCTGCGAACAGCTGATGTAAATGGTGTTTAAGAGAGTCGTGGCCGCCGACTGAAGGATCCCCAAGACAGCGCAGACGAAACAAACAACCCGGCCGGGGAGCCGGACCAGCCACTTCCGCGCCAGTGTTTGTGCAGCGACTAAACACTGAACAAACAGGAGCGGAATTGGCGCGGGCCACTGCGGGATTGTCTCCCAGTGGTAACATGCAAGGAGCTTCACGCGAACTACGATGAAACCTACGACATAAAATTAAATGCGAACTTGCTGATAACATTTAGCCGATTCATTTTTTTTTGCCGCACTTTGACAACTATTCGTGCGACATTTGTCTACCATTTTGCTGTTCGCATTGCCCAATTTTCATGCTAAGTTATAATGTAGGCATGTGTTTATGGTGAGTGTTTTATACATTTCATGCGTAGTGAGCAGACATATGAAACAACTGTTTCTGATTTAAGGTCAATGCCTACCTACTAAGAGAGCTGATTAAAATATGAATATAATAAAACCACCGTGCACTGACTGAGATCGAGCTCATCCATAACTGAACGCGACGCAAACGACACGAATACCCGGTCGTTGCAGCAATGCCACTGTGCAGCACCGACACTGCATACATACTGTATGTACCCGGAAGTAGGATCGCGTGACGGTCTGTATCTAATCCCGAGGAGTGAGAGGGTACTCTCAGGTGGGGGGGGGGGGGGGTGTATGTCGGGGGATCGATCGCCAGTGGACACAGACCGGGGTCGCGAGTCGTGGGCGTGGCTAATGTAAGTCGTCTGCACGGTTACCACGCTAATTAGGATTACTTGTGATCGCTAGGGAGCTTGGGATGAAGTAGTGGAGTTTGGATGCTAGAATAGAGGTACTGATGATTACTGGTTAATTGTGTTCATGTTTTATCAGTATGGAGAAGGTAATCGAGATACTATGTTTTATTGTAATGCCAGTGATATGTCTTTCTAACTGAAATGCATAAACCATTTAATCAGCATGAAACACGTCATCGTTCATCAAAACCTATCACAGAATATTAGGCATTCTGACTTGAGTGTTCAGTGTTCATGTTCTGAATCAAGGCAAGCAAACAACTATACACAATAATGCATTGTGCATCAACTGTCAACTTCCGGTGAGCAGAGCCTCTCCCTACCGATTCTCTACTTCATGTTGTCCTGATATCTGCCTCCCCCTCCTCTCCATCCCCTTACGCCCCCATTCACCCCCCCCCCCCCCAGATCCAGCCACTCCCACACCATTTATCGTGCGCCGTGCGACAGGCTCGCCACGACCACTCATGCGCGAGTCACGCGTGACAGTGGGGCATGGGCGTCCTGCCAGCCCGCGCGGCAAAGCGGGGCTCTTTCAGTCACCCAGGGACGGAGGTAGGAGGCGTGATCGTGATAACGTGCTGAGATTGCGGAGAGGGGAGAGAAGGAAGAGGAGGAGAGGGAGAGGAGGGATGGATGGAAGACGGTGTGCGTTGCGTATGATGAAATGTAGGACCGATGAGACGATGAGATTGACGGTCTTGACTTTTGTCGAATATCTGATATGTTAATTCATGCTGAAACGGGGGTCAGCGGTCAAAATAAACCGTCATAACTGATGCACAATATTACTCGGGACGGAGTTCCGAAAAGTATCCGTCTGCTTCGTGGATAAAGTCGGTGCACATAAAAGCAAAGCATGATGTATAAATAAGAAATACCTGTTGCTTCTTGACTCAAGTAATGTGTCGCCAGGTCTCGATCCTCAAAACCTCTGTTTGTTTGTTTGTTTGTTTGTTTTTTGTTCGAGTAACTTCACTAAATTCGATATCGAGGGCTCGAGGGCTAAGAAGCTCTTCACGAGGACAGACAAAAACAAACGCAATTTCTGCTGCAGCTTACATTTGCGATTCCTAAGAAATGACTCAGATGTCTGCTTGTTAACTCATAGCATGTGATTTCCCCGGCATTTGTCATATAGATGGAATCTTCAGCATACTGCTGTCAGCTCTAAAAAGAATTGTACATACCTATTCGCTGGCTGATGTTTGTCAATTCAAGTCTTGAATCAGATCGCTCTTCACGGCCCTCCTCCCACAACACAGTGTAACCGGATCGGTTCGCGGACGATCGCTATTTGCGATGGGTTGTGTTGAATTTAACACCAAAGACGCCTCGTAGGTCAAGTGACAGTGCTGGGGCCTGACGAGCGGTTACTGGTTAGGACGAGCACACCAGATGCGAACCATCAAAGAAACTTGAGAGGGGATGAGTAATCTGAGTGTGATGGACGCTGGGAGATGCGCGCCGCGGGAGAGAGGGCTCGGGTGTTAGTTCTGTCACGTGTCTCAATTGGCCCGCGACGCCTCGAAACTCTCCATTCGTGTGGTCGGAATGGAGGTCAGCGGTGGTGCTGCACTGCATCTCCTGGGCGTCACATTCGGTCGTCTCCTGCACTTTGGCGCCCACTGCGACGAGCTGCGTAAAGAAGGTGCGCCCCCATACCGCCCACCTCCGGCATGACTGGTAGGAGCTGGGGCCTGACTGACCGGCAACTGAGAGCTGTCGCGAAAGGCTATGTTCGGGGCGATGTGGAGTACTCGGCGGGTGCATGGCTGCCTGCGGCGTCAGAGAACCATCCCGTGCTAGTCGACCGGGCGCCTGCCGCCAGGGTGGTGACGGGCTGCCTGGTGTCGACGCCGTCGCACGCTCTAATGGCGGAGGCGGGGCTCGCAGCCAAACACCTGTGCCGCGACATCATAGCGGCACACCAGCTAGCTACTGGCGGCCTCTCTGCCTGTAGAAGACCCGCTCAGAACGGCCTGGCGGAGACGTAACCGCCAAGACGTCCGGCGACAACCTCCGGCTGGTGGACAGAAGCCAAGGGGTGCCCGCTCGCCTGTCGCCGAAGGGTGAGCCTCTCATCATCGAGGAGCGGCTCCACTTCACCGGCCCACCATGGCAGGACGGCGGAGAGGTGTCCTTCCACCCCCCCCCCCCCCCCCAGAGTTGAGAGGGGCGACTTAGGAGTGTCTGGCGTTACTAGCGGCGGACGCCTCCTGGATCTGATCGGACGGCTCCGCCGAAGAGCGTGAGTACCGCGGCGGAGGGGGAGCCCTGATTGTGACCCCCCGAGGTTCAAGTGTCGCAGTCGGCCGCCTCTACTCAAGTACACGACGAGAGGTCTTTGTACTCGGGGCCGCGCTGGAAGACCTGATCTCAGTGCCAAACCGGGACATGACGCCCCCGGTCACCATCTGCTTAGAGTTTAAGGTGGCACTGGCCGTCCTGAAGAACGGCTCTGCGGTGCAAGTGATGCCAGTGGCAGCCGACATCTGGAACATCCTGCAAGGTATCAGCGCTCCTAGCCAGCCCATCCAGCTGCAATGGGTACCGGCGCATTGCGGGCTTTCACTGAATGAGTTCGATGAATTGAGGGCCGATGAGCTCGCCAAGGAGGCCAGTGTTCTTCAAGACGACACCCCGATCGACATCGTCACGGGAGAGTGGCTGTCCGCTCCGCTTCTACGCATTGGAAGGAGGCCTGGCCGGACGGGCGGCCCAAGGCCATCTGGGTTCCCGTCTCCCGGGCCTGGCGCGGTGGCGCATACGACGCCCGGCCGTATGCGACCAGTGCAGCTCCGTGGAGTGTCCGGTCGGGCCGCACTCTGCCAAGTGTGCCGAAAAGATGCGGACACTCAACGGACCGTCCTGCTGCGCTGCCCGGCGCGCTGGCGGGGCGACGCTTCTATTTATAATATACCGTTTGTTGGAATGCGTCCACCGCGAGGGTGCTCAGGCCTCGATGGCGCAGTAGGCAGCGCGTGAGTCTCATAATCTCAAGGTCGTGAGTTCGATCCTCACTCGGGGCAGAGTTTTGTTTGACGGCACAGAATCTCGTATCTTCCTCAGACTTCAGAGCCGCTTGACTATGTGCTACGTGTACTCAACTTTATTCTCATAATGAATACGCAAGCAAACAAATGGAACTATGAGATCAGCCTTATTCCTATTATGATCCACTTAACGGCCCAGCAGGGCGCGGGTTAAGATGCGTGGCAGCATATTGGGCGTGCGAGCCACCGTCCCAAAGTAACGTGAATTGTCAACAGCAATGCAAAGAAGTCTGTTATTGCTCAGATTTTGCTTTTTAAGGAATTAACAAGTGATACGGTACGTTAAGAAGGCAAATGTATTCTTGAAATGGATTGTTTCGAGGCAACTAACCGGAATCATTCAGTCTTTTCTCAGCTATGTTTGACTTATTTTCTGTACCATCGACACAGACCACCGCAGCAGCCGCACCGATGCTGCACTGAAACTTTCCGCCCCGAAAACATGGGATAGCTCACCCCGATCGTGTGCAATAAGACCACGCGCTTGTAACTTCCCACTGCCCAGCCGGCCGCCCGGCAGATGCCGTGGCGCGCGGTGCCGATAAGGCGCTGCCGCCCGTGCGCGGCGTCGAATTCTCGCCCTTATTGACACCGGCCGGTCGGCGGGCGTAACATGGTCCTCTTTAAGCCGTTTGAGGAGCCCCTAACAGTTAATACTTTTCAGAAAAATGGGCATCATTGGACTCAGAAAAGAATACAGCACCACATGAGCCATGAGCCCGTATACTTTTCCAAAATTCGGTTTTTTTGAACAACCCTAATCTACATGAACCGCACAGTAATCTGAAACCGCGTTTCCAGTTTCAACCAAAAGCAAACTGAAAACTGAGAACGGGCGCTCCAGAAAGCGTCGGCAGATATATAGCCGCAGGCTACGCTGGGTCGTCGGTGCTGGTTCTCGGTGTCGCCGCCAGGGCGCTGTGTCCACGACCGCTGTCGTCCGTTGGAGCAGCTCAGTGCGTGTCGGGCACGGCGGGGGTACGCTGTACGCGGGTCTGTGCTGCCACTGAACACCTCGGTATGGTGGGCTGAACAGGATACAACATCAGGGAATATCGAAGTAGTGCAAGAGCTATAGTGACTAGTGCACAATGCTAAAAAACAACACACTATCCAAGCATACATCAAGATGGTTAGATGATGTTTGCATTGTGATATAAAGAGCAGAAATTTCAGTAGCTTAGATTCAGGTCCAGTCGGAAAGTCTGAGCCAGGTGCAAACTGTGATGCCACTGTAGCAGAATGAGTGTCTGCTGCCGAATGGACGCCATGAAACTGGATTTTCCGACTTCTGGACAGTTCGGAGAGGGTAAGGAACGGAAATAGTTTACGCTTGGAAACTTGGTCGTATTACGCGATAGGCGTTATCACAAGTGTATTCGCGGCCATTGGGGTGACGTAAGAAAAGAAGAAAACAACTGGCCCCAAGAACTTTAAATTATCAGTTAGCATGCACCTTTTCCTTGATGTATAGATAATTTACCATTAATTGTTAGAGAAAATTGCATTTAAAATCTTCCATTTATGCTTTTTTCATCGTTTGCACAATATGTTCTTTTACTAAGCTAGAAACACTAATTTGAAATAGTTCCCGCATCATCGTCAAGAACAATAGGGAAGGCTTGAAGTTAATACAATGATCTAAACGGTTTTGTAATCTATGTGAAGACACTTCTAAAATTGCCTGTAGAAATATTGAAGACAAAAGTTCAACTTTTTCACAAGAATGATGTCTATAAACCTGTTCAACGTGTGACAACTCAGCCGGTATTTCGTCGCCTACAGCCCAGCTTTCCCTAGTGACCGATAGAGGCGCTGCTATCGATGTCCGCCCGTGCCGCCTAACGGTAGTCTTGAAGTTTAACCTGGTCTTAGTCTCTATGTAGGGTAGACCGGGGCAAGTCGCCCCGCCGAGGTAAAACGCCTCACCGATGTTTCTCGGAAGTGGCAGGGTTCTGGGGAAACATCATCTCTTCTATAAAACATGCACTATATGATCATTATATGAGCAGACTGGAAAGAAATTGTGATGACTCTTTCGGGAGATATAATTAAAAATGTGTTTTTTGAGTGATTTTTATGTTTTGTTGTCAGATTATGAATCATGGCGTTCTTTTATGGTCCACATTAGGTTAACGACTTTTATGTATTTTGAACAACTATTGTCTAACGCTTATCATGCCGGGTTGGTTCGTGTTAAATTATGTCTTACTGGAGTGCAAGGCGTTGTTCTCTGACCGAACTACGTGATGGGGTAAAACGCCCCAGTAGGTCGCGGGGCAAAAAGCCCCTGGGGCGTTTTACCTCTTGTGTTGTTGGGGCTACCCACTTTCTAATGTTCGGTAGCTGGCGAACAGTAAGTTTCTATGCCTTTATGTGTATTTTTCTCAGCAAATGGATGGCAAAGGAAGTATTTTGTTAACATTTGCATTGCAATAATTTATTATTTGGTCTTCTGAGGTAGGTGAAAAACCTGCTCATACAACAGTGTCATATGCTGAGCACCTGACAGGATGGAATGTGCTAACTTCAGTGCCGTGCCTCCAGAGGTCTAACGGACCTCTCACATAAGATTTAGCCAACTACCATGTTAAATCTTTAACCCTATTCCTGGCGGGGGGGGGGCCTCAGGAGCCCCCCCCTGAGGTTTTTTGGTTATTTCTCCCAAACGCGTTGAGCTAGGAAGCTGAAATTTTCTGACTTTTCCTAAAAGGCTTCTACGCAACATGTCTGAAAATTTTGAGTTGATCTGACCTCAGGTCAGGTCACCAGAGGCGGTTTGGTGACCCTACCTCAAAAAAGTTTGCAATCACGCCAGAGCTAGAGTTTTTGACCGATCAATTTCTTCTCTTCAGGCTTTAGTTAGGGTACCAGTATGTGCAATTTGTATATCTCGGAATTTTGATATCGGTGACCTAAGGTCAGGTCAGTTTCGCGACCTCCCCATTATAAGTCAATGGGGGAAAAATCAACTCCCTGTTTTTACCACTAAAACGGGTTGGAATGGCCCCATATACCATACATGACTTCATATACGATCAACCTTCACTACCTTGAGGTCTGTTTTGCTGTTGGGCAGCTGTGAGGTCATGTGACGTCATCAAAGGTCACCAAAGGTTTTTGGCCAATAACTCCGTACAGGAACAAGATACAGACGCGTGGATGGTCTCATTGTGTTCAGCTCGTCAAGACGCATCGAATGATATACATGATGACCTCGAGGTCACGTGACCTGAGGTCAACCTTTGACCTTGACCTTTCGAGGTCAACATATATATCATTCGATGCGGATTGACGAGAGGATCACGATGATGCCCTTAGTTTGTTCCTATCTTGACTAATTCGAAAGTTATTCGAGAAAAACTCTCTCCATATCTAGCGCCGCCATTTTGACTTTTTCGACCCCTGTGACGTCATCTTTGACCTGACCTGAAAATGACCTTAGTAAAAATTGTAGATCTTGACCGTGCGTATCCGATGCCGTTTACCGTTTGTCGCTATCTTGCTTCGTTCTCGAGATCTCAGGGGGGGGCCGAATCGGCCCCCCCCCCCCCCCCGCCAGTTTCTTGTCCCGGCGGAGCCCGCCAGGAATAGGGTTAATCTAAGGTATGGGGCTACTTGCCCCAGGCCGTGGGGCGTTTTGCCCTGGGGTTGGGGCAAAATGCCCCATTTGCAGTTGCTTCACAAATCACTTCCTAGCTTGGAGTCCGATCAGAAGTGAATCAATTTGAGGGGTGCACTTTAAAGTAAAATGTCCAAAGAACGCATTGAGCACAAATTTGGCCTTTCAGGTGATGTGGGACAAAATTTATGTAGCAAAATAAATTATCTGGGGCGTCTTGCCCCAGGCTACCCTAATGTTAGCATTGTTTGTGTTTACTTGCATGTGTTTCCTCGTGTAAAAGAGGTGAAATTTTGATTATGCAAAATGTGTTGGTGAAATTTCGTCAGGTTTACGGATTTTCAAGTCTACGTCGACTTTGACGACCAAGGTTGTCAGCTCTTCTTTGATATTGTACCTAATAACATCTAGTCGTTGCTCTGCAATTGTTTCATGTTATGTGAAGCTTCTGCTGGATAATGGACTGATCGAGTTAGTCGAAGGTTAGAGTGTGCCCTCATATTGCTGGCGTTATGATCAAAAGTAGCCAGTTGATTTTAGCCAGATTTTCCAAGTTAAAAGTGAAAATTAAGTAATTTATTTTTCATAGTTAAACTCGAGAACACTGCTAACTCTAAGCGTGAAACTTTAACCCTCGCCGGACCTATTGGTTTTCTACATACGCGCCGGCCGAGGGGGGGGGGCGGGTACGACCCCCCCCCCCTCGCCGTTTCGCCCCTGGCGGAGCTAGCGCGTCGCGGAAAAAACGAGCGTGTGCGCCGTTACGAGACGCAGAGATTGGTACCAGATTTTAAGGTCCTAGGTCAACCGGTGACCTCTGAGGTCAGGTCAAGTGCCCAAGGGTACGGTTCAGTTTTTGGTGAATAACTTCACAAAAAACGGCCGCAGAGCCGCGATTTTGGCAGCATCGTGTTCGCCTCGCTCAGGCGCGTCGAATGATATACTTTTTGTCCGGGTCAGGTCAACATGGGGTGTTGACCTCAGGTCAAGGTCAGGTCAGCACCCCCAGGTCACGAAGTTGGTCGAAAGAGGTCATGTCGCATATCATTCGATTCGGCAGGTCTTCCTGAGTCCATTGGTGGCTTTTTCGACTCGCTAGCTCAATTTGATCAAGAGTTATTGACGAAAAACTAATATGACCTTGATGACGTCATAAATGACGTCACGCAAGGTCAACATTGCAAAAGTGACGCATCTAACCTTGCAAGGAGTGCATCAAATCACGATTCTGTGTGCTTGAGATAGTTGGAGATCGTTCCCGGCGCCAGAAAAGCAGTTTGAATTTTTCCCCATTGACTTATAATGGTGAGGTCACGAAAATGACCTGACCTCATATGACCTTTAGGAAAAATCCGAGATATACAAGTTGTGAGACTCATAATGGATACTAGATCCTGCAAGTTTCATTTCCCTGTGACATCTCCTCTGGCAGTGAGGGCGTTGCGAAGTTGCGACATCTGAAGACCGTGCAGAGGTTCACTTATGACGTCATAGGTCAGTGACCTGACCTTACCCAAAAATGCGGTTGGTGTCAAAAGATCCGGCTTGGATCAAAGGTCAGGTATGCCAAGTTTCAGCTCTCTATCGCCAGCGTGTTCAGAGCTATCGCGAAAAAACCCTATGGGGGGGGCGGCACCCGCCCCCCCCCCCCTCGGGCGGCGAGGGTTAACTCAACAATCGTTCATACTTCTATTGCCCTCTTTTTGATGTCGATGGGCTTTTTATTTCCGAATAAAATTGCACAACAACAAGCACACATAACACTCCAAAAGTGCCTCCCGTATTAACCCTCGCCAGGCGAGGGCCTTTTCCATGACACGGACGGCGAGGTGGGGGGTTGGTGCGACCCCCCTCGCGATTGGCTCCTATGGCACTTAGAAACGCCAAATTTACAGGGTAGGTGGGTACATAGGAGATCTCGCTCCTGTGAAAGTTTGGTGACTCTAAGTCAATATTTAGGGGGGTTTAGGGTATGAGTGCAAAAATTTTGCTAAAACATGTCAAAGGTTTTTCGCTTATAACTTTTTACCTAGTAAATATAGAGCAAAAATAAAAGCACCAGTGAACTCAAAACGTCCGTGCGCATCGAATGATATAACTTGTTACCAATTTAAGTGAACTCTGGAATTCAGTTGCCGCTAAGCTAGTCCAATTTTCCCCTGACCTTGTACTGGTTGTTGTGACTTGGTGACCTGACCTGAAAAGACTGGGACTTCAAATTTTCAGGAAAGGTGCGAAAATGCTGCTTCAGAGGGTATGCCAAATTTGGCGGCGCTACGCGCCGCCGCTTTTACGTTATTTGCGAAAAACCTTAGGGGGGGTTGCATCAACCCCCCTCGCCGGGCGAGGGTTAACCGTCTCCGTGGCCCATGTAACCCAGCCGCTATTCTAAATCACCAACAACTAACCTGCACCGGCACCGCTGCAGCACCGCCATATAGACACCACCATCGCCATCATCTCACCACTGGCGTCCACCACTGCAGTAATAACTGTCATAACCAGCAGCTGCCGTCGTACCTCGCCGGCTGCAGCACCTGACCCCAGCCGGTTCGATACCTGACCCCAGCTGTCCACCAGATCAGGCCAGACATTGACCATTGGAGGCGCTCCATCGCCACACCTCTCGCCATTTCTCCCAGCCGCCGCCGGCCCCGCTATCCCAAAACGGCGCACCGACCGCGGCCGATAGTCGACCTCCCCCCCCCCCTGCCCCCCCTCTGAACGCTCTCGATCTGCATATTCGAGCCGAGCGATCGGGAGGGTAGCCGTAAACTCGCGTCGAATTGGTGGCCGAATAGCGCTGAGGCCTCCGACGGCCCCGACGATATGGTGACTGTTGGAAACTTGGAGTGTGAGCTGCGGTGACGGACATCTATTCGTCGGAGCGTCTGCGTCAAGTTGTGTGGGGTTGACGATGGAGCCGTCGCCATTTGCATGTGAGTAGGCAGATGAGTCAGAGATTGTTTCTGCCCGCAGGCATGGTGATGCGACAGAAGCCAGAGGTGCGGCTGGGCCGGGTCCAGAGACTCAAACGAAGAATCAGCTCCAGTTTCAGGCGACTCGGTAAGTGATATGATACGATGCATTACTTTTTAGGTGCTACGATACGATAAGTGATGGGTAAGTGATAGAGATGCCACTTTTGAGCCCGCGAACCCGCTTTCTGCGGGTTTTCAAAACCCGCAGGGTTTTTGGCGGGTTCGAGAAGCAAAACTTGTCGTATGGCGGGTATTTGGCGGTCAGACTTAAAGGAAATAGTTCACTTTTTAACATGGGATTTGAACTGGAATAGCAGTTCCGTAGCTTGGGCTGAGACGAGCATAAATCAGGAGCTTTTGCAGCCCAACGATCACCCTAGGCAAAGATATTCTATTTCTCGTCCCGAAAAAGGTGTCTTGCGGTGAGGATGTGTACCTTGCATATATTTCCATCCAGTATGAAAAGAGCATGGGTCCCGAAAATTCTTCAGAAACTAGAGAAATTATCTACGAGAACTCTAGAGAAATTCTCGTACTGATCAATTAGGACATTCAGGGGAACATTATCAGATCGAGCAGCTCGTCCCGCCCGAACAAGTCGGGTTCAGAGAGAAGCGCGGGGTCGAGGACGTCATCGCCCGACTCACACAACAAGTCCAGGACGGGTGGCAGAAGAAGCCGTGTCCACCCTCCAAGAAGCAGGTTCCGGATGGCGAGGCGGCCCAGAAGTATGTGCTGGTAGCCTTTGACTTCGCTCGCGCGTACGACAAGGTGGACCACCGTCTCCTGAGAGCCCGCCTCGCAGAACTGGGGATCCCGGCCTGCGCCAACACCTGGGTGTGGCACTTTCTGCGAGATCGGAGAGCCTGTGTGGAGCTGAACGGCACGAGGAGCGAGGAACGGGTGTACCGAGCGGGACTGCCCCAGGGCAGTGTCCTCTCTCCGACCTTGTTTTTGTTGTGGTCGGCCCCACTCGCGTCAGCCCTCAGGCGTCTCCCAGGAACTACACCGTTCATGTTCGCGGACGACACCTCGGCCCTGTGCTCGGGCAACACCATCGCCGTGGCTCGGGAGCGGGCGCAGCTGGCGGCCACCTCGCTCGTCAGGTGGGCCCGCCGCAACAAGATGGAGGTCGCGGGCGAGAAGACCCAGCTCCTCGTCCTCTCCCAGAACCCCCGAGACGCCGCCGATTGCCACATCCGCGTGGCGGGCCAGCTGGTGGAAGGGGGAGCCGAGCTGAAGTTACTGGGAGTGACTCTCGACAGGACGCTGGGCTTCGGCGCACACTGTAGGAGCCTCCGCCGGCGCGTCCGACCCCGCACCGCCCAACTACGACGCCTCACCGGCCGCAGCTGGGGACTCAAGGAGCAGCAGTTGCGCGCCGTGGCCAATGGCTACGTGCGCGGCGCGCTGGAACATGCGGCTGCTGCCTGGCTGCCGGCAACGTCAAAAACCAACGTGGAACTACTGGACCGGGAGATGCGCGCCGCGGCCCGAGTGGTCACGGGCTGTATCCGCTCGGCGCCCCATCACGGCGTCATGGCTGAAGCCGGGATCCTCCCCGTATCGGCCAGGCGCCCTGCGCTGGCGGCGCGCATGATGGCGAAGGCCGCCGCCCTGCCGCCGGAGGACCCCCTGCATCAGCTCGCCATGGATGACCCACCGCGGCGGCTCAAGCTGATCACCGGCTGGCGGGAGGTGGGCCGAGAAGTCCTGCGGGAGCTGCGGGTAGAGCTGCCAGTCGAGCCCCTGCTACCGAAGAGGCCACCGCCGTGGACACCGAGCGGACCCATCACGTTCAACGTGGGGATCGGCGCTCTTCCCGCAGGGGCCGCCAACTCGACCAAGAGGGAGGCGGCGCTGCAGCATCTCGCGTCCCTGACACAGTGCGCCATCTGGGCATGGACCGATGGCTCAGCGAGCGGTGGAGTGCTCCGAGGAGGGGCTGGCGCCCTGGTCATCGGAGCGGACGACAGCCGCACCGAGCTTCGGATCCCGGCGGGCACCCTCTGCTCCAGTTTTAGAGCAGAGATGGTAGCCCTGCAGAAGACCCTGGAGCACATCATCGAGAACGAGAGTGGCACGGATCCGGTCATCATCTGCACGGACTCCATGTCGGCCGTGGCCGCCCTGAGGGAGGGCCCGTCGGCCCAGCGGTCTGCCCGAGGAGCGACGGTGTGGCAGCTGTTGCGGGAGGCGACAGCTGGGGACCGACCGGTCACCCTACAGTGGGTACCATCCCACTGCGGGATCCCGGGCAACGAGGCCGCCGACACACTGGCGAACGAAGCTGCGGCTCTGGCGCAGGAGGACGTCCCGCTCGACGTGGAGACCATCTACCGAGCAGCGGTCCGTACCGCAAGAGACCGCGCCGCCAGGGAGAGGCCGTCCTACCCGGACCCGGAACACAAGGCCGCGACCGGCTGGTACCGTGAGCTGATGGGCACAGGGTACCCACCGCCAATCTCCAACATGGACAGGACGAGCGCAATCGACGTCCACCAGATCCGAACTGGGCGATGGAGCGGCTCCGCCCAGTTCCTCCACGAGATAGGGAGGAACCCGTCCGTGGACTGCCCACGCCCCACAGTGCCGCAGTCTCGGCTGTATCGCGGCCCGCTGCAGGCTCTGTGGAGAGGAAGCCGACACACCGAGACACATCCTCCTGACATGTCCGGGGATGATGGGGGTCCGCCTCCGGACCCAGGCCATCGGCAACATACTGCCGACCCCAGAGGAGGTTCGGCGCAGCGATGCAGTGGCGGCCCTGGTGGCCGCCTTCAGGGCCCTCCAGAGCCACTAGGCTACACCGCGGCTTCGCCGCGGCTGCGGGGACCGACAACAACAACAACAAGCAGATCGCCCAAATGCCGGTGGCTGCGATAATTTCTCTGTTTCTGAAGAATTGTCGGGACCCATGCTCTTTTCATACTGGATCGCGTGTGCCTTACAGAAACTGAAAAGTTCTTCCTATATCAAAATATAGAAAAAAAATCTTTTGTTATGAAAAGGTTTTATTTTCTTTGCTGATTATTTTGAACATAAAAAATCATAAATCGTTGCAAAAAAAAAAATAATTTCGTGAAAGTGAACTATTTCCTTTAAGAACCTTTAATTTTTTTTAGATGCAAAACACAATGCCAAGTGCATTTGCTCAGGTTAACAATACAATATTGATCAAAACAACTTTTAAAACAGAACCAACTATAAAAAATATATATCATGGAAGCACATTTCAAATGCAAAACTGAAAACAACCAGCAATAGCATCCACAGTCTAGCAATGACCAAACCAGGGTACAAGCAATAAACTACAAAGCATAAATAAATGCTAATGAAAGCATCCCATAAAACATAAAAGAACCTGAAAGCAAACTTATAGGAAGCTGAACTGAAGTCCATGTGCAGTGTGCACTAGATATACATTATGGAAGAACCCAGAATCAGAGCAAATGCCACATGTTACTTTATTTGCGTCTGGTCGACATAAAAAAGAGCTATCAGCTAAACAAAATTTGATGCAAATTTATTGATTACCTATCCTATTCTATGTTCTGTCCCACCCTATATTACGAAAATAGCACATCAATTACCCTTACTGTTACAAAAAATCAAAATATTGACTGGCATGCGGCCCAAACATAACGCAATACAATACTGGCGCACTTCCGACATTCTGACAAGGATTGGCATTTGACTGCGTCAATTTTGGTCTCTGAGGCGAAGGAAAGCTGTCATTGATGATGCAATAATAATTTTACAATCAATTTTTCTGTCTTGGTTTTTGAATGCCTCAAAATAGCAGTTATACATGTTACAAAACCACGTAGCTGGTCGCATTTATTTCTTTTGTCTTTTTACGTCCTTATTATTTGTATGCCGAGACAGGACCAGGCGGAGAGCATTACCAAGACCATCTATAAAATTATTACATTTAATTTAGTATTTACTGTCTCTTTATTTCTTAACCGGTGATTAACCTCTGAATTGTAAAACTTAAGCTGTTGTGTAAAATAATTTTATCAAAATGGCACATGAATATGCATTATACAACGGTGTTTTCGCAATAATAAGTTCGCACTAACTACGGCTGCAATAATTTAGTCGCTGTAACATTCCTTGCAATCAGCTGTTGGAGACGCTTCTGACGCATGTTTTCAGAAATGCGTGGTTCATTGGACGACGGTGAAAACAGGGCGCCTGGGGCGATTTGATCAAGGTTCGTGAAATTTACACGTGACGTTTAGCATCGTAGAAGGCCCACGGAGGGGGAGAAGTTCCAAATGTCACGTGACTAATATGCCCTCCGGCGCCCTGTTTTCACCGGCGTCCGGTTCATTGGTGGTTAGTTGGTTTTAGCTGGGATTTTGCAGGATTTGTTTTGTGTAGATCGACTGGATGCTCATTATTCACCGTGTCACTATTTATTTTTAACTGGAAATCGCATATCTTTTTATATCAACATTCATTTTTATAGCAATATCATTCCAGAAGCCTAACATTGAGAGGGAGCCAGAGTGAAATTTTGATCCTCAGCCAATGCTGAAGGGTAAGGTGAGAGAAAGATTTTACTGGACTCTTTTCAGAAAGGAATTTCAAATGTATTGATGCATTATTCATTTTCCACTATCCAGTGTGCACTTCCTGAGGACTTAGCATAGCAATTTCAAGTCCTTACTATTTGATTGGCTGTCTTTTTCCGCACAGCAATGAAGCAAGTAAGGTTTATATAGCTCTAGCATTGACCCAGCTGGATTTTTTTCTTGCAAAAGCAGGTTTTTGAAATTGCGGTTTTTTTGCGGGTTCGGCTCAGCCAAAATCAGCTTGCGGGTAGTTGTGGTTGGGCGAGGGGTAGCTGCGGGGCGGGGCGGGTAATGAAATTGCAAATTTGTGGCATCTCTAGTAAGTGATATGATGTGATATACATGACTCTAGCAGAAAAGTTTGAGGGATAAGATAAAAATGACTACATAGGTAATTGACAGCTCGGTTATAATAGCACGATAAACACAATATGACTTAGGCATTAATGATTGAATCAGCTATGCAACATCCCAAGTGAACTCAGCTGATAATCCCCCAATA